CAAAGTAGGTCGATCGATGGATTTTGATATTTAATGAAACTTTTACAGAAACTCTTTCCCCTTTTATTTTTTTATAGCTCACTATATGTACCCTAAGAATTATTAAAATCATAATGAAATACATTCAATATTCAACTATACGTCGCAGCATACGATCTTGATATATATCAAGCCGAAACACTTAGCGTGTGTTTTATGGCAAACGTAGCAGCACTTCGACCGCGACTATCGAACACGATGCTTGATGACACTTGAAATTTGTATTTTCGACATTGAAACGGTATCAGTTAGAGAGACAATTTGCTTCTATAAATGTTAACTTGGGTTACGAAAAGAACTTTGTTTTATTTACACTTTTCCAGGCCGAAGGAGTCGGGCCACGTACGGTATAGATAAGCTATATATGATTTAAGTCGCTGAATTCAAATTTTCTGTAATTTTGGTAAAATTAATTTGTTTAAATAATTAGTTTATATAATCTATAGAAGATAAAATATAGAACAAAAACTGTGAGAATTAATAAATACTAGAAAAAAAGTAAAAAAAAATAAGAACAATTTTTATAAAATAAAAAAAAAATAGATAGAGAGCTTAAAAAAGAAAAAAACAACAAAATAGCACTTCAAAGTTTAAACTTGAACCATCACATGGTGTAGTGCGTAACTAAGCAAACATATTGTTAAAATTGTGGGATTCGATCAGTTCGATCACACACTTCCTAGAAACTTAAAGCTAAGTCGATCGCCACGGCTCTTAGCAACGAAACAATTTATAAATTTTGCCATGACGCTGTCAATCGATCGTCAGTCAGATCTCAACGCTTGAACGACTACATCAATTACTGTTGTTTAATTAAATAAAATTTATCTAATGTTCTTAAATATTGTCTCTTCGTTTCAATTCATACTCAAGCTTAAAAACGAATGAAGTATAAGATTACATATAGATTATTTAATACATGTTCTCTTTATATTAAAAATATTTTCACAACAAAATATATCTGAACAAAGTAAAACTAATATTGCAATAATTTGTTTAAACAATTTTACAAAATTATAACAAATTTGAATTGAGCGATGCCTCGAACTGCTGAAATCGTGTAAAGTTTATTTGTACGGTGGCCTAATTCCTTCGGCGTGGAAAAGGATTAAAGGAATTTCAATTAATTTAGGCGTTCGTACACCGTCATTGCTCGTTACCAACTAAATACTTCCAATATTTGCACGTTGGATTTCATTTCTAGACATTTTCATCAACCAACGTTGATACAGTGCTCATGCTTTTATTTTTCTTTGGATCTTTATTCAAGTCGAAATGTAAAACTATCCAGGCAATTTAAAACAAAGTTTTAATAAATTTATTATTTCTATATTCTCCGAAACGTTTATCTAGTTATTCATACTCGTTTACCTAGTACGTCAAAACAAGATAGCTCGTAAAAGGCGCTATAAACGTACGCACTATTAACACGTTCGTTAAACCCACATGCAGTCTAAGCATTTATGTATAGTAACGTCGATAAAACTTCACCGCGAAGCATCGGGTGAAAGCCCTCGTCAAAAAACGCAAAAGCAAAGCGAAAGCGATTATCCGCAACAACACGGTAGCCCTAAAAACAAAGACCTTAAATTACGGAGAAGCTGCTGTTAGTCTCTGTCTCTCTCTCTCTCTCTCTCTCTCTCTCTCTCTCTCTCTGTCTCTCTCTCTCTTTCTCTCTGCCAAACCTCATAACCGCAGAGCTGCTGCACACGCAACGAAAATTCCGAGACGCAATCAGCCAAGTTTTCAACCACAACTCGCTGTGGCCCCTACCCTCCACGCAAATTGGACCGAACAATGAAAGTAATTAATCGATGCGGATTGAAAGTGACGAGGACGGAAGTTGACCTCTATCGTCCAATACACCAAACAAATTTAATTATCGCCTCGTGGGTTATTATTCATTTATGATAGGGTTATGGTTGATTTTTTTATCTCTACCAATGTTTGTCGCCAATATTTAATATTTATTTACGATTCTGTTGAAAAATCCATTCGTTTAAATATTTTCTTGCATTAATTAATTAGTCGGCTAGGAATTGGCATTATATTTCTTTGTTTAGCAGTATGGCTTATTAAATAAACATTGTTATGTGGTCGTTGCATATTATGTGAGTACGAATAAATAGAAACACATTACTATTTATGAATCATTCAAGTTTATCTATCGTCATATACCTTTAAAGAACCATATGACACACATAATAGTACATTACGATACAAATGCGAGAAAGTAGATTCTTGTCTCGTGTGGCGTTGACGCCCTCGCTTCGCTCGGGTGAAAAGGTACACGAGACGAGAAACTCTTTCCCGAACATGTGCCGTACCGTATTTTTTGATACAACGTGTGGAAAGTGCGATTTTCAACGCACGTTTTCTATCGAGCGTGCGGGAAAGACGCACTTTACGCACGGAGTGTTGAAAAGCTACTTTCTTCCATATAGTATTGACAATACATTATCTCAAGACTATACGTGATAAAATATTGTGGAACGAAATTTATAGAAAATTAATATTCCTTTCTCATCATTTTCATAATTTTACAAATAACAATTTAATAAATAAAAATTCAAATTACACGTGAAAAAGTATATAATATCCCATTATGAACATTCCATGCGCGTCAATTTTAATTTTCTCAAGTTGCCCACACTTGAAAACAACGCACGCACAAGTTTCTATTACGAGATCCCCAGTGTATAAACATCAACAAAAAAGAACACATCAAATTTTCATAAACATCTGGGCAGCGCGTGCAGCTATAAACATCTCGAGAACACGTCTTTTTTTTACCGTTTTTAATTAAATTTCCCTTAGGAGAACCTCAAGGCACTAGGCTGTAATGAAATTACGCAACGAAATCTCAAGAATGGACAAAGTTGCAATTATCCGGCGGTGATTCCCTGCACGGATGCTACACATGTGCGTGATCCTTATCGCTGAGCTCAATGTTAAAAATATCGAAGGCGAGTTATCTGATTTCAATTTCCCTCGGGATCATCACGGGATAGTATAATTATTTTTTAAAATGACAGACGTGCGCTCTGTAACCTATATCCTTTTGTTACAGTTATGTAGTTGTGAAAAAGTGGTTGATACGCAGGGGGACAGAGATTAGTTTGGCGATTGATGATTTGCTTAGTCTAGGTGTCTTTACAAGTCTACACATTCTACCCGCAATATTTTATAAGAAGACTTTGAATGAATAGTGGAGTATTTTAAGCTTACAAAAATTACGAAAGAGTTTTAATATTTTCGATAATGCATAGTTATAAATAATTTGGATATTCGTCACTCTAAATTTATATATCGCTATGTGATAAAATAAATTTTAGTTGTCATATAATAGAATATTCTTTTTTTACCAGGTTATAGCATTTATCGAACGGTTCAGTAATAAATAGTTAATGCTTAGGAAATATGAAAAACGTTAATTATTAAAACATCCAAATAATATTTTTAGTTTTGATATTATATTCTAATGACATAATCTTTTTTATTGTTCTTATATTCGAAGAACACGGTAAATTTAAAATTACTTTAAACATTTACAAGATTTTAATTGATTTACTTTGATCTATATAATTTACAGGGGATTGTATATAAAAGAAGAATTAGGTTTTCCAAAAAATTCCAGTCAACCACAAAACATATCATAATTCACATAGCAAACATGCGAGTCCCATCGATATTCTGATGAGTCACAATAGTCTTTCTTTTCTATCCTCTCTTCACATGCAAAAAGTCGAACTACGTTCACGAGTTTAATAAGGAGATCTACGAGATTAATAGTGGATGAGCAGTCCGAAATTCCAGTTCGTGACATGCATAAAAGCCATGATACGCGGCATGGAGAGCACGCAACAAAGATGTCTTTTGGAATGTGTCTCGCTCGTCGTTTTCTAGTGGCTTGATTATTAAATTTTTTGTACGTCGACTCTACCGCATTCACTTTGGAAATTTTTTTTTTCTCTTAAAATCACCGTCCGACATGTAATTACATTCTCTGAGTATAATTACATAGACCAAGCGAGAATTGCGGATTAATTGTTCGCGACATAGTTTCATTAATTGTCGAGCTTTCATCCATGAAAATATTTCGTTTTTTCGGCCTATCCCACAATAATTGTTAATAAGGGTATATATATAATATTTTTAACAATTTCTGATGTCTCAAAGTAAATTAGCACTGAGGTTAAGAAAGATCAATATTTACAGAGAGACTCCTTGATTGCAAGGAGAAGGGGAAACGGCCACCTCGAGAGAACTTTCTCTCTCGGAAAAAAGAGAGAAAAATACATTTGGACATTAAGACGCTTTTACGGTGACGCAATCGCTGGTCCGATTACGAAGTATTGCTCGATTAAAAAAAATCTTAAAAAAAAGAAATAATTCTCAAAAGTAAAACTTTCGTCGTATATAATTATACATTCCCATACAGCTCTCAACTACGAGATAAAATTGTAATCCGGTAATTTACGCGAACGAGGGAGAATTGTCATGTAACATATTCGCATGCAAACGCAAGATACATCGCTTTGCTTTTTGTTTCCGTTCTCTCTTTCCATTCGAGCGCCAAACAAAGAAATGTAGGTCGAATTTTCCACGAGTTTGTTTACTTTCTTTGCTTTCACTCTACCGGATCGAAATTTTTTAAACATCGATTTATATATTTTTACCTTAATGAAGTATCTCGAGTGTCACATTTTCTTCTGAAAGAAAAAAAGTCGCCCCCACTTATGATTAACACGAACGGTTAAGAGTAATATTTCACGCAACAGCACCATCGATTTAATGAAAATTGAAATTCTATTTCTGTATATGCCAACCGGAAAAATATATTCAGTGTCACTCGAACAATTCGCTTCATCATTACTCGATTACGTTGAGCATACATGACAATTCTCCATTGAGTGATTGTAAAAAATGACGACTTCTGAAGGAAGATGATTAGTACTCACAGGCTTTGAGACAAGAACTTGGATAGTGCAAGCTTGCTGATGCGGTTGTTCTTAAGGCCATCGAGCATGGCCGAGGCTGCGACATCCATGTTTGGCGGTTCAAGGTTAGCGGCGTTGGCGGCACTCGTTTATACAAGGTAGAAATTTGAATGTGATTCGTCGATTATATTAAAATGCACACGACGCGTGGATTCTTTGCTTGTCTTGCGTGATGATTAAGTCGCCGGTGTTGTGTTGGGTTTCTCCTTAGCGCTCATCGTTGCTCGAACTTGCAGTCTTCGTTCGTGTTTTAATGACTATTTTTTTAATTATCAATACTTAACTATCGTCAACAAGAACAACAGTAAACAACGAGAACAACACTTTATTTTTTCTTTTGTCGAAAAACAGACGATGAGTATAGGCGGCTTTATTTATTTATTTTTTTGTTTTTTTCGTGAACAACTGATTCCTATCAAAGTCGACGTATATTCTTTATTTCCGCACACGTTCAGCTTTATTTTTTACACGTTAAAATACCGTGTAGGTATGTGTTACGCGTTGAGTATGTATAATGCTTTAGATTTTATTTTATTCAAAAGCGTCGTGTATGTGTTTGTATATAACTAACAAATGTTTCATATATTTATCTTTTGTTGTCGGAAAAAGTCCGTTGTTTTCGCGCGAATATATTTCTTCGGAATATAGGCCTATGGAAACTGTCTGCTTCGCATTGAAAGATTCACGCGAAAGAATAGAAAAAAGGAAACCAGACACACGAAATTACACGTATATGTTTGTATATACACAACGTAAAAGCAAGACGATAAAAGAAGGACGTGATATAAGATAGAAGGAGAAGAAGAATAGTAGGCTACGAGGACGACGAGTAGTACGTCGATGATAATACAGCCATGACGAGGATCACTCGGTACCTCGGGCTCGTCACGTCGAGGCACATGCTCACAGCGCGGCGGTCGGCGAGCCACTGATCGAGGATCGACCGTCTCCTCCTCTTTCACTCTCTCTCTCTCTCTCTTTTCCTTGGAGAAGGCGAGTCCAACACCACTACCACCGCCGGCAACAACATCCTCCACCACCACCACCTACCTACCTATCTACCTACCATCCTATCTACCACCTGCACAGGTGCTTTGCCTCTTCCTCTCTCTCTCTCTCTCTCTCTCTCTCTCTCTCTCTCTCTCTCTCTCTCTCTCTCTCTCTCTCTCTCTCTCACTCACTCACTCTTTACCTGCACACGCGGTCAAAGTTGTGCTTTGCTATAGCCTGCAAGAGAACAGAAACGCGCGCGCTTAGCTTGACCTACTCCCCCTTCGATCCAAACACCAAGCGCATGCGTTACAACTACTAAAAGCCAGAGGAAGGGGGGAGGGGAGTAACGAGGAAACGATGCCAGCTTTCGTACAGTGTACAGTGGTGGGGAGCAGTAGAGGAAAGGAGAATGCAAGCGCGGGCTTCAAGCAAAACGCCTAGCTGCGGAAAGAGCGAGTGTAATGAAAGAATGGCAACGAGGGACCTACGTACCCCTACGCGTATTTGTCGCTCTGCACATTTTCTGTTGCGTCGTTGCTGGAGATGTAGCTTCCTTTCTTATGAAGAATGAAAATTCTTTTTTCTTCGCGAGGCTGTTAATATGGGTTTCAAAGCTGTTTTTTGAGGGTATTTTTTTTATTGATAGATACATATTCAATTGATGTTAAAAAGTCATTTTTCACTGACTGGTGATTAGATAAAGTAAAATGTTGGATTTTGCATACGAGATCGATCAGGTAATTACGACACAAAATTCAAGGATTAGTATGTTCCTACTTCCAAAGCATAGTACGTAAAATCAATGTTTCTAGCTATCCGACTGTATTGATGCAAGCACTTGGTTGGATAATTCGTAAAGTAATTCGAAAACACGTATCATCATTAAACTCCCGACTTGGGAAAAATATTACGCGAACGTGTACATTTCTGAGTAATAATATAATGATCATCAAACTGAATGGTAAGTGGAGAGCAAAAACTTACGTACAGATGAAATCAATTTCCAACACGTATCAAGTGAAATAAGTGACAATCTGAGCATAATAAAATAATCCTACCAGCATCAACTGCGCAGAATCGTAAAGTCGAGCCGAGGCAATTTGCCACGCGGTTTGTGACGAAGAGAAATGAGCTACCGACGAGTACAATGAAAGAACACTCGAGGCGCGCACGTGTGTCTATTTAACTTTCATTTTTGCTTGAGAGACGGAGAGATTAGGAAGTGGAGGAGAAGCACATAGAGAATAAATCTTTAATCCACTTGATTGACTGTTTCTCATGTTTATCGATGCTGCATATCTACACGAGGGAGTCGGGGTGGTCACTTTAATTTATTAACCAGCTGATTGACTGGATATCGTTTATACGAGTGTCGAGGAAATTCCAGTTATTTTCGGTAATTATGGGTGTAGAAGTGACTTGAATTGAACCTCGTTAGTTTTCTTTGAAGATATCCGTAATTTTTCCATAATTATAATTTCAGACATCTGGAGCTTCACAGTTAAATTAATAACGTTGTAAAACGTTGAGAAAGAAACTTTTACAAAAGTGAGAAAGCACAATTGGAAGTTCATTTTATCTCCACAGTGGAAACTTTGAAACGGTCCATTGTCGCGATTTCCCGTCGGATCGCTGCCGCGGATAATTCAATTAAAAATATCCCTAGGCATAAATTCGCTTGTTCAACTATTTTACATTCAATTTTTTTCAACCTTTTCACAAAAAAATCTTCGCTTTCAAAAGAGCAGGGTAAAAGGGTAAAAAAATAGAAGAGCCCAGTTTTCCGTTTGAACTTCGAGCAGAAGAAATTTTCCGAGGAATTTTTTTCTGCCGCACGTGGCAAGTTCACTAAAGTTGGAATCCGACGAGTGTGCGCGCGAGATAAAAAAAAGAATGAGAAAAGCCGAGTGGCCCTTTTTCCTTATTTTCTGAAAATTTTTTGTTTTTTTATCCTCACGCTTCGTTCGGTCCGCTATATTATACTCTAAGCATATGTGTATCCCAGGTTAGAATACGCGCGATTGCACGGAATGAAAATCCGACATTCATTTCTGCCGTATGTAACCCAGCTCATACTCTTCGTAGTTTTCGATTGTCAATCAGCTCTGTGTTCTTTCCAACCCATCTCGCACACAAGGTTTAGGGTTATTTCCACTCGTACGCGAGTTGCTACATACCAGACGATTCTTTGTCCAGCTTTTTGGCTTGGCAATGACAAATAGCCGGGAAATTGTCGCACAATGACACGTAGTTGAAAAGTGCGCCTGGATCAAGTTTTTGAAAAATATTGCTAAGAATGATGGTTATTAATTTTTTTATCGGTACGCTTAGACGAAACAAAACAATTTCACATATATCGGTTTGACAGCTAAGGGGATATGCAGACTTTGAGAATCCAAAATTTAAGAAAGTTTCTTTTGTGAACGCAAAAGCGTGCTATTTTAGCGTATGAGCCATTTTTGTTCCGCATATATATCATGAGATATTGAACTCCGCTAAAATTCGAAATATGCCTTCCATACATAACTCCGTAGACACAGAATATAGAGAATTCGCAAGAATGTAAAAATAGTGCTGAAAAAACTGTTACACTATATGGCGTGACTATTGTTTAAAGAAGATTATCTATTGAAACTCTTAAAGTTTACCTATTTCCATCGAGCTTGAAGTAAGTGATAAAACAAGTATCAACTACTCACCAGTCAGAAAAGCACGAAGCCAAGTAAAAGGATAATTACATCGTGAAAGGGCAAACGAGAGAGAAGTACACTTGGGCAAGCTGCCCTGGCTACCGGTAGCTTTCGATTCTCGGTTGGTCGAGTACTCAGCTACCGCACCGCTGCGGTCAGAGATAGCCTTAGGGAAACTCGTGACGATGTCAGCTGTGCGCTCTCCTAAAATTTTTCCAATTCGAGCGACGAACAAAAAGACGAATTGTCTTTTTCTTCCAATGTTTCAAGGATGAGACTTGTATTATACCACAGGCAGCGTGTTGTGACGAACGCATGACAAATGAAAAATCGATTCTGCTCGATAGGAGAAAGAAGAATAGATTAAGAGTTAATGCCAGGAATGAAAAATGACCAGGAATAGTTGGAAATATTTTTGTATTCCAGACGGCTGAATGGTGATTCAAATGCTACTCGATTTTCTTTTTAAAATGTACACGAAGTGTCTTTTCTTGCTTTCATGTTGAATTTATGGAGCTTCGTTCCTTTTTCTCTTGCAATTTAAAATATGTAAATGATTGTCGTTGGCGAATGCATTGAGTAGGTAGATTTTATATAACAACCTGTAAGAGCTCCAATCCCATGACTACATCGGTTAGGGTATTCGCGACTTGAATAAATTTCTCAGTGCTGATTTTGTGAGGACTCTTAATTCTTTGGAATAGTAAAAGTTCAGCCCTAAGCAGTTCGTAAAAATAAATCAGGGGTTTAGATTCGCATTTAGTATGTCGTGCAAGCGGTCGACACGCTGCGCCATATCCTCGTTCTGCACCGAGTAGATTCATTCTTATATGTGTTTTCGTGTGTTATGTATTTTTTTATGTCGTTGTCTTGCATATATTATTCAAGTGAGCAATTGCTTCATTGCTTGGATATATTGCCTCGAGGTATCGAGAAGCATGCGTTCTTATACAGTTTAAATATATAGTCCGTTTATATAGTTTTGAGATTACAGTTTTCATACACTATTATACAAATTCTACCTACACACTGCATTCGCCAACATCAATCGGATTACAAAACGAAGTTCAATCACAAAAGATAAAAAATCTCAGCTCTGTAAATAAGAAATTTGGCTTTTGTTTTTTATCAAATCATCATAAAAAAGTGGTATCTTTAAAAAATGTCAAAGATTTTTAGCGGATTTGTCAAATATAGAAATATTTATAAAGACACATCCATTTTAATCACTCAAAGATATAGATTAAATAAGATCCTTCTATCGCATAAACATTAAATTAATATTGATCTAATATTTATTACTGAACGTTGGAAATTTTTCATAATCCAAAAAATTTATTAAGGAAACTATAGTTCCAATAAATCTGTCCATTTCATGCCAAATGCCGTATGTAATTGCTAATTGCATAGATTTTCATAGCTCTAAAATATAAATATATGAACACCACCTATGTTAAAATAGCGCGAAGTTTGACAGCTATAACGCGCAACATTGCAATTATATACACAATGGAGCCGCGAGTAGGTTTATTACGAAGACGCGATCGTTGTAGGCAGATACACAACAGACGTACAAGTAGTGCAGCTCGGTATTCGAGCCGCCAGCAAGGCGCCAAGCTAATTGCGCGCTCATGATGTTCCCAAGGCGACGCTTCCACCACCACCGGATGCCTCTCTGCTTCGGGCTAAATCAACTTCCATTTTTCCTGTATTCTTCACAATTCCACGGTATCAAGATACAAGTGTTTGTATTATTCTTCTGTAGAGTATCTTGGACATTTTATTATAATACCCACGAGGCGTGTTTTTGTCAGGACGATTCGATTGTCGTTAGAGAATAATGTATTTTGCATCAATATTAGTTTCATTAACGTCTATCTTATCTGCTAATAATTTCATAACTTACGATTCATGAAAGGAAAGTTGCGAGATTGCGAAGTGGAGTAAATTTATATGCACGGACGATCTAGGAATTTTTTGTGATATTAATAATGATTGATTTTTTTATCGTATACTACGATTTTATTAAATGTGATTTTATATGATTAATAATTTTAACGAAATAAATAAATTCACGCAGTGAAAGTGGTTACGATCTTGAAAAAAACCGAATTGACACAATGTTTCCGCAGTTCGTCATGTGAAACTTCGTTGGAAATAGAAATGCCTATTTTGACGAGAACCATTACTAATACGCAATATTCGTGATATTTTATTGTCTAACCGAGAGCGAAAACGGCAGAGAAAGC